ATACATACTTTAAAACAATCATATGATACTATGATTAATATGGCTTTTTTAGATACTGATGGTGTTAGTTATCCTTCTTTCCTCTATCCTCTATATTGCCCTACTGACCTCAAGTTAAAGCTTTTCCCAGGTTTTCCATTTCATGTTTCCTAACAGCTTTTCTCTGAGTCCTTTCTTTAGGACTCCTTCTACCTCCATGTACTGTCACCACACTAACATTTAACAATCCTAATTTCTGCAGATTTCATGGATTATATACTTATTTCTAAAGATTTATGCTAGCATCCACAAACAAGTGAGAACACATGTTTTTGGGGTACTTCACGCAGTATAACATTTTCCAATTTCATTTATTTATCTGTAAATTTCATGTTTTCATCTTCCCTTATTCTTGAATAACATTCCATTGTGTGTATGTAACACATTTTTATTATCCATTTGCCATTTGAAGAACATTCAGGTTGTTTCCATTTTCTACCTAAAGTGAATAGAGTGGTAATGAATACAGCTGAGTAAGTATCTGAGGAGTAGACTGTTCACATCTTTGGGCACATGCTGATGAGTAGTACTGCTTGGCTGTAGGGTATATTTATTTTAGATTTGGAGGAATTCTCTATGCTGATTTCCGGATGGGCTGCACCATCTTTTTCTCCCTCTAGTAATTAAATGTCCCCCTTTCCCCACATCTGTAATAGCAATTATTCATTGTATTATTGAATTCTAAGAATTCTTTTCAAATGTCTTTTGTTGCACTTATATTCACAAGCATGTTGGTGCAGTTATGAAATGAAAGTATTTTCTCCTAATTTAGGTTGATTATTTTCTTGTTTTGCCAATTTTTATTTAAAGAGTGATATTTTAAAATGTATTGACTTAATTAAAATTTTAATGGATTAAGCATTTGAATGTTATACTAAAGGTACAGCCATTGTAAGATCCGGGGTCATAAGGAATGTTTTCTGTTTTTAGTAAAACTGTACAGTCTTAGGTCTTTGGACTTATTTCCAGATAAATTATTCATATCTATATGTCTTGTTATTTATATGCTATTCATTCAAATATTTAATTCTTTAACTAGTCTTTGGGCTTTTTTAAGGATTAGTTACCCCTAGTATGGACACGTGTGGCATTTATTGTCTTAGTCTTCTGCTGATGTTTTCTATCAGCTACTATCAACTTGATAACAATTATTTTTTGATATCTTGAATTATAGTAATGTTAGTTCTCCAAAAATAATATTTTTGTTTGTTTGTATTTTTTGCTTTTTGTGTGTTTGATTTTGTTTTCCTTTTCCAGACCCTTTGCATTTTTGCATACATTTTCAAAGGTAGCTTATGAATTTCTAGAAATGTCTGAAGGATTTCATTCAGGTTGGCATTCAATTTCCTGAAGAGAATGGCATTGATTGAATTGGATCTTGTAGAGTTTGAATGAGATAGATCACTCATTTAACTTTCACTAACTTTTGTTAATATCTTTATGGTTTTCAGGATCTTATATGCATTGTTTCATAATTATTTATACCTATACATGTTGATGCCATTGCAAAAGTCATTATTCTCTCTCTCTCATCCTCTCTCTCTCACACACACACACACACTCTCTCTCTCCCTCAATCCCCCCTTCTCTCTCTGACAGGGTTTCTCTGTTAAACAGTCCTGCAGTCTTGGCTATCCTGGAACTCACTCTGTAGACCAGCTGGCTTCAAATTCAAAGAGATCCATCTGCCTCTGCCTGCCAAGTGTTGGGTTTAAAGGTGTTTGCAATGACTGCCAGGCTGTAAAAGTAATTTTCAATGTTAATTTTCAGTTAGTTGAAGATGGGAGATGTCATTCTGTAAGTATGTTTCTCATATTGTTTAATGAATACAGCACTGTTGGCCAATAGGACAGCAAGATAGGTGGGACTAGGAAAAAAGGAGTCAGGGAGAGGTAGGAGGGTATTCAACATGGAGGACCAGAGAAGAGAATTCCAAGCCCTCTCTCTGGTAAGCCAAGACCACATGAAAACATTTAGAATAATAGAAATGGGTTAATATTTAAGACAGAGCTAACCAATAAGAAATGCTAGTAAGAGGCCAACAACATAATATCAAGAGTGTCTCAGCGTGTTATCTGGGGTGGCCATGGGAGAGGGACCAGTTCTCCAGGAAAAACTACTCATAACAAAACGGCACCACAATGTGGCTAATAAGAACTTCCACTCAAAACATAACAAAAGCTTAATAAAGGGTTTTAGAAACAAACAAACAAACAAAAAGAAAGAAAAAACAGAGACAAGCAAGGCTTCTTATTAACAACATTTTTTTTTTTTTTTTTTCTCGGTTGGGCTCTGTTTCGCTAGAGACAAGCAGAGATTTGGCGGCTCTTTTAAAGGAGGTTTCTTGACCCAGCATAAGTGGTAAAAAACCGCAAGGCTTTTATGAAGTGCTGCTAACAACTCAATAGTGTGTATGAGCAGCTGGAGAGAGTAGCTGGGTATGGTGGCACACACCTTTAATTCCAGCACTGTAGAGGCAGAAGCAAACAGATCTCTGTGATTTCTAAGTGAACCAGGTATACAGAGTTAATTCCAGGACAGGCAAAAGTTACACAGAGAATCCCTGATTCAAAAAATAATTTTAAAAATTAGAAAAAATAAAGTAAGAATAATAAAATAAAAAGCCACGTGAAGATGGAACCACACAAAGAGTCTGGATACTGTATGCTATGATATTGTCTTTAAATTGCTCAATTACCAAGGAAGAAATAATTACTACAATGCACTTCATTATCAATATTTCTAAATTATTCCAATTTATATATTTTAAAAATGCTTTGACTTCAAAATTTAAGTTTAAAGACAGGTTACTAGGGAAAAGGATTTCTATTTTTGTTTCCATGGAAAATAAAAAGCTGTGGATTCTTTCCAGACTAACATGGTTTGATCAAGCCAGACCCCCTGAAACAGTGTCCCAGGTGGTCCAACATTCAAAACAGCTGAGACAAGGCAGGATTTCTGTGTGTCCTTAGGATCCCCAAGACAGTGCCCCCTACCAGCAGGAAGCAGTTTGGAAAGAATGACGCCCAAATTTCCAAATATTGTTTATAAATGTTTGTTTTCATTTATATGGGGCTGGTTATAAATGGTTAATAACCACAACCGATCTCTTTAAAGGTATGAAGAGGATTATGGTGTAGAAATGAATACGGTGTTTTAGAATGGATTTTCATTTATTGATACAATTTAAGGTTAATTTTGTGATGTGTATATTTCTCCTCTTGTTTAGGTATTGTGCTTATATAGCTCATTTAGAAAAGTCATGTATAATTTAGTACAGATTTTAGATAGTTACCTATAGTAGTCAAAACATTAGTTAGGTTTTACCTCTAATAGTCAAAACTAAGATTTCTAGATATACAGAGATGTATTTGATATCAATAGATATTCTTCAAACCATTCAAAGACCTACAGAATATGGCATTTACAATGATTTAGGGTTTTCCTTGACAGTGAGATGTAATTGCTGCTGGCAATACCACCTTCATCAAAAGGAAGATGGACATCGAAGAAATGCATTATGGAGTTTGTTTTCAATATGGCAAGATTAGCCACGTGGCGAGATACTGCGCTTGACTGGACTGTTTGACTTTATGTTGTATAAACTGGACATGCAGGACCCACAGGAAAGTGACTGCTGAAACAATATGGACATTGCTAAAGGATTCCTGCTTCATGGGATTGTCTGCCAGACATTCTGCAGAACACACGGAAACATGACTGATATACTGTCAATACAGGTGGACAATTTAAAGTTTCCTGCTTTGCTGAGGAGTCTGTCAGACACACTATGGTCTATAGGCTGAAGGAGGAACATTACAGAAGAACTTTAGGTGATTGATCAGGTAGCAAAATGTCTCTGTCATTTCTAGAGTTTATATATTATCCTTCTGTGGTCTTTGATGGAGTTGAAGACAGTTATGGTTATAGTTTTCTTTAGTTAGGATTATGGATAAATTACATATAGGAGTTTAGACTCATAATGATAGGATAGATGATATAATATTTTCTTTAAATCTTGCTAAATGTTATTGGATTAAATATCGTTAACTGTAGTTCTTGTTTGATAACTGTTTTGTTATATATTTTGTTATGCTAAGGTTAACGCCCTTCTTTTTATTTTAGACAAAAAAGAGGAGATGATGGGAGATGTCATTCTGTATATATGTTTCTTTTATTTTTTTAATGAATAAAGCAATGCTGGCCAATAGGAAAGCAAGATAGGCAGGATTAGGAGACAAGGAGGAGTCAGGGAGAGGTAGGAGGAGATTCAACATGGAGAATGGAGAGAGTAGACACCAGGCCTTCTCCAGTAAGATAAGACCACGTGGAAATAGATTGATAGAAATGGGTTAATATTTAAGACAGAACTAGCAAATACAAAATGCTAGTAACAGGCCAACAGCATAATATCTAATACAATGTCTCTGTGTGTTATTCGGGGCTGGCACAGCTCTGGGTCCAGGCTGGTGGGGAAAACCTGCTTGTAACAAGTTGTTATAAGTGTAAATGAACATAATTTTCTTTTAATGAATTCTTTTTAAATTCAGATATTATTTTCTACTTCTAAAACTACATTATCTTGGGTACTATATATACAAAATTTTGTCATTTGTAAGTGACTAGACTAAATTATTTTTCTTCCAGCAAAAATACTTTTTATCATCTTTTGCTTTATTATACATTTCTAAGCCACAGTTCAGTAGATATGAATTTTCTCACTCATTCTTTTCTCTCACTCATCCTTTTCTCCAGTTTTATTTTAAGACATATCCTGTTGAAAATGAAAACATTTGAAATATAGTATAAACATACTATGATGCTATAGCCAAACAATTTCTAATGTAATGATCCCTACTAGTGATAATTGATGAATTTTCATTTCTTAATTTTTGGAGCAAAAGGAGATATCAATATTTTAATATTTACATTTTAGTAAACTATATTTTAATTTATTTCAGGTGATTGTCAAGTCTGGACCAGGAACTTTCCTTAGTCTGGCAGTTTATGACAATTATATCTTCTGGTCAGACTGGGGACGAAGAGCTATTTTGCGTTCGAACAAATTCACAGGAGGAGAAACAAAAATCCTTCGTTCTGATATTCCACATCAGCCAATGGGAATCATAGCTGTTGCTAATGACACTAATAGCTGTAAGTTGTAATATGGAATAATATTTCCTCATTGTATAAACTCTCAACTCTTTGTCATTTAGGGTAATATAAATTTTGTGATCATATAATGGGATATAATAAACTTAAACATTTAAGACAATTTGAATACATGAAGTATGTTTAAGTAACTTCAATAGAATTTACTTGGTTACACAAGAACAATTTCAGTTTTCATATTTGAGAAGTTCTATTCCACTGTCTGTACATGTAAGGTTTTTCTGCCCACCGCTGGCCTTGTCCCGCCGCCGCGCCAGCCCCAAATAACACACCAAGACTCTGTATTTGAAATAATGCTGTTGGCCAGGTAATAGTTTTTTATTGGCTAGCTCTGTCTTAATTATTAACCCATTTCTATGTATTTCCATGTGGTCTTATCTTGCTGGGGAGAGGCGGCTGGCAGTTCTGCTCTCTCCAGACTCTCCATCTTGACTCCTCCTTACTACTTCCTCTTTTCTCCTTCCCCTAGTCCCTCCTATTGGACAACAGTGCTTTATTCATTAACCAGTATGAGAAACATATTTACAGAATGACATTGCCTATCATCTCCTCTTATACTGGTTAGGGAATAAAGCACTATTGGCCAATAGAAAAGCAAGAGAGGAGGGACTAGGAAACAAGGAGAAAAGAAAAAGTAGAAAGGAGAGTCAAGATGGAGAGACCAGAGGGAGCACAATGCCAGCCCATTCCCCTGTAAAATGAGACCACGTGAAAATACATAGATCAACAAAAATGGACTAATACTTAAGACAGAGATAGCCGATAAGAAACTAGCAACTGTCCAACAACATTATATTAAATACAGAGTCTCAGTGTGTTAATTGGGGCTGGCACGGTGGTGGGACAAGACCAGCGGCGGGAGGAAAAACCTTACTCCTTACAACTGTCCTTTTTTTCTCATATCTTTGAAATTAAGGGCTGACTTGTTTCTGGGATAATGATTCTCTTAGGATTTCATTGGGTTTATAAATTCTGTTTTTGTATCATTAAAAAATATATACTTAAATTAGAAATTGTCTTATTTTACATATCAATCCCAGGTCCCTCCCCTTCCCATTCTCCCTTGTCCCCAAACCCATCCCCTATCCATACTCCAGGGAGGGTGAGACCTTCCATGAAGGATCATCAAAATCTCTCATATTGTTTGGGTTGAGGCCTAGGCCCTCCCTCGTGTACCTAGGCTAAGGACGTAAATTCTGCAGCCATTAAATTACTTACAAAATTGTTGTTTGCCATAGGAAAAACTCTCATAATGCCATGACATTCTTTAAATTTCTGGTTTTCCTGGAGGTTAATGCAGTTTTCTGGTTAACTATAATCAATGGGAACTGTCTGTTCATCAGAAAATGTTAACCTGTCCTTTATTGCAGGTGAACTCTCTCCATGTGCATTACTGAATGGAGGTTGCCATGACCTCTGCCTTTTAACACCTGATGGAAGAGTGAATTGCTCCTGTAGAGGTGACCGAGTATTGCTAGCTAACAACAGATGTGTGAGTAAGTAATGATAGTCTATGTAATATGCTTAAAATATATTAAAATTATGTCATGACATACATAAAGTTATAGAGGTTCACTTATTTTATATCTGTTTATGCAGGAACCCAGCTCATGCTAGTATTTTCTTTTAGCTTCATGTGATAAGTAACAGTATCTAAGAAACTTATGAGTCCCTGTGGTTGAGTCCTGACTGTTAGGACCAGCCTCATACAAGATTACCTACCAAATTATAGCTGTGTCTTTGAGACTCTCAAAATTATGAAATTAATTACAGCTGAAATGAACTAGAATTCATGCAGGAGATGAGTGGCCATGGAATAACCTCTTCATAGTCCATGGCAGTATGTAAATGAGAGAGAATGGCTCATGCAGCTTATTTGTAATCATTTCCAAACTGTTAATTAAGAATGTAACTTTCCAGCCTTGCACAGTGTTTATTCTTCCCAAAGGCATTGCAGTCTTTAATTAGTACCATTATAATACACCCTTATTAACAGCTAAATTTTCAAAATAAATAATGGCTCAAGTGTTTCAATATTACCATGAAAAATTAGCAGGCTACATAATAAAAAGGTTAATTTCCCTTTAACACTGAAACTCTTCCTATGTGAAAAAAAGTGGAAAGTGAAATCTTGTTGGAAATTGGTGAACTCATTTTCAAAATGTGCCAATTGTACCACAACTCCGCTACCTCTTTATATTCTTTTCTCTCCTCATTCTTATTAGGAAATTAACAGAAGTGGGTATATTTACATCATTGACAATAAGTATTTTTCATCTTCATCTTCATACATCCTTGTCCTTTATCTTAGGAGGATCTTTTATTATATTTACTGTGTGCTTCTTTGTTTTGTGAACTGATATCACAATTAAGGACACATCTTAGGAAAAAATATAATTTTAGCTTCATAGACTGTGATAGAACAAAGGAGAGATGGAACAACTATTCAGTGAATTTTAAAGCGAACAAAGGACTTTAATATAGGGGGCCTCAAATCCCTAGATCTCTTTTTTGCCTAGCAAAAAAAAGATCTTTGTCTGAAAAGATCAACACCATCTGAGTTATCTTTCATTTTGCTTTGGTGGGTGGAGTACTGATGATCAGGATCTGATGCCACATGCAGACCTGGAACATCAGTCATATATCAGAATCATTCATGTTTCTTTCCCAGGTCACACGACAGGGCAGGAGTCTGGTAATAACTTTGATCTGAACAGCAAAGGGAGTATACTGTGTGCAGCACAGACCTGTTGCTGTGCCAAAGTTTATATTATTCAATTGCCCCGAATAAGCTACCTGCAACCCTCTGCTGCTGAGAGGTGGACAGGCCAACATGAAAACATTTAAACTTGCAGAGTTACACTGCTGTGGAAGTGAAGAGTGGCACTGGACTCCTAAATGGGAGCAAAGTGTTGTGGAGGTATTTTCTATCAGTTATGTGTCTGTTCTGAAATTCTATGGTTCATCAGCAAAACTGAAAAGTAGCTGTGACTTTCTAATTGTCAATCCATTGAAGATAAACCACAGTATTTCTGACTCATTTATGACCATACCTGCATTGATTCACTAATATTGTTAAGGAATGTTAGTGGTCTCTTTCATTTGTTAACACATACTTGAAGGTAAATGTAGAAAACTATTGTTGAGTCAATTGTTGGAAAAATATTTAGGTATTTACATCCCATACACACTGCTAACATCATCAAGATCCATTACAAATTCAGGAAGGGCAAGCACACTTTAATAAAACATTTGCCATTAAGAGAATGAGAGGAAAGACAAACTTGTCTGCAGAAAGGAGCAGGATGCCTTCAGTGCTGTGTTTCCATTTCAAATGTGAGCAAGAATTGTGCTTGCACATAGTTTATTTTTGCATTATGTAAATATTCTATTTTCATTCTGATGCAGTGATAAAACACTCTGAAAGCATCTTTGGGGAAAAGGGGTTTATTTTATCTCACAAATTATAACTCATCATTGAGCGAAGTCAGAGCAGCAACTGAAACAGGAAGCTAAAGCAAAAAACAATGGAGGGACACTGCTTATGGTTTTCTCATCTGGATTTCTTATGTGACCTAGGACCACTTTCCCATGGTTAGCACCTTTCACTGTGAGCTGGACCCTCTTGCATCAATCATCAACGAGGAAAACTCTCACAGAAAGGGCCACAGTCTAGCCTAAACTTGGCTATTCTTCAACTGAGGTCCTCTCTTCTGATGTAACTCTAGGTCTGTCACATAAAACATTCTTGTGAGTAACATATAGAGATTGAGCAAATAATGTTCATGGATTTAGAAATAAATACATAAAACTACAAATAATAGAAAAAGTCCTTCAATGTGAAAGAAAGCAAGGAAGGGAAAGTGGGAAAGTTTAGAAGGAGGAAACAGGAAGGGAAAATGATTAAATTTATATTATATTATCAAAAATAAATAAATAAAAGTTAACTAAAAAAAATAATGAAAGTATACAAGTTGTATATAAACCAATCAAGACAGGACTGCTAATATACCAGTATAAATTTTGTTCATTTCATGATGTAAGATAATTTTTCTCAACAATATTAGTGACATTATACACATTTCCCTTTAAATTTACCAGTAGCTTTTACATTTAAATCCTCTGGTACACCCTCTGAAATTATATTTTACTTTGGTTTATAAGTTCATTCAAAAATGAGAAAAAGGTCTGTACTGAATGAATTTAAATGAATACATTGAATTAGAAGTTATAGACCAATATTAATATATAAATACTACAATAAAATTGAAGACATTTTAAGGAATAATAAAAAACAGTGGGAATTTCAAGTAGTATTAGTAGACAACATAGTGAACATTTCTGAAATTTCAAAATCTTGGATAATAATTCACAAAATGGACTCTATCTCCTATAGATACAAATCATAGTACTGTTCAGAACTATTAATATGAATTGATTTCAACATAAAATTTGCTAACAAAAATATGTGACAAGCACATACCAGGACATACCATACCATAAATATATATTGTAAAAGTTTGTTGATGAATCTATTTTATTAGGATAAAGATAAGTTATTAAGTTAGTTTTCCAAATACAAACCCTTAAAAGAGGAAACACTTGGCAAGCTTAAGACAGAATTGAGCTGCAGAAAAGGTATTTTTTCACTCTGTAATTATTGGACTGTATTTGCAGTTTGTAGCAAATCACATGAGTTAGAGGGAGAGACAGGCTTGGAGGAAGGAAGAGGAAGGAAGGGGAAAATGGGAGGGAAGGAAAGAAAACTCTTGTTCATTTTCTATGAATAGCCTAGGGTTTTGAGATTCGATGGTATGACAGTGTTGGTAGATACTGTAGGTATCAAGTTCCAAGCTGTCTAAAGTCCCATTTGTCTTATCCTTTTCCAACAATTTCTCCATCCAGCTGCTTCTAGGCAGGAGTTATCTGTGCGTGTGTTTTTCCAGTCTTAGTTCTGTGTTTTTCCAGTCCTAGTTCTAAGTAGGAACTGGCTAGTGGGTCTCAACAGCAGAAAGTTGATAAGAAGATAAAATTAGAAGTACATCAAGTACAGACCAAGTTTCATCATTTCATCAATCAGAAATGGCCCTCTCTTCCTGAAAATGGTTTGTTATTTGGGAGAATATATAATTGTAACGAGACAGCAATGCATTGTTAGAATACACAAAGCTTACTTAATTGATTTTTATTTTTTGAATTTTGAAAAAATAATACCCCTATGCAACTTAGATTGACCTTGAACTCACTATAATCCACAAAGGCCATGAACTGATAATCCTCCTGCCTCAGGCTCCAATGATCTGGGGTTAGAGGCATGAGTAACCACACCTGAGTAATTGGCATTTTCTTTTCATTTTTTTTAAGGAATTATTTCTTTTGAAAACATTTTTTAAATTCAATTTGCAACAAGTTAGTTTTACATGTCAATCCTATTCCCCTCACCCTCTCCTCTTTCCCTATCCTCCTCCCAAACCCCATACTACCTCTTATCTGTTTCCCAGGTAAGGTAAGAATTATTTTAAGACCAAATGCTTCCCAATATGGCATTTATCAAATTCAAAGTACTGTTTTCATCTAAAAACATATGATAAACAGATAACAGAATATACAAATAGGCATAAAATACAAGTTAAAAATACTTTACAAACAACTCACTAAAGGTAAATTAAAAATAACAGAAAAAAAATTTCAGTGAAGGACTGTGATGAACTGTTTTTTTACTTCATTTTATATGTTTATGTTAAAATTTAATTTTATAATTTAGCTTAAAGAATGCAATGCTAATAATATGAAATAACTGTCATTATATAAATCCTTACTTTTCATTGTTTCAGCTAAAAACTCGTCTTGTAATATCTATTATGAGTTTGAGTGTGGAAACGGGGAGTGCATTGACTATCTGCTCACCTGTGATGGCATCCCTCATTGTAAGGACAAATCAGATGAGAAGCTGCTCTATTGTGGTAAGTGTTCAATTAGCACTTTGTCATTGCAGAAAGATATTTATGGTTTTGTTTTGTAGTTTTAAGTGTGTTTGTCTGTTCTATTTCACGTGAATAATTGCTTTAATGTCTCTCATTGACATGTATCACTGAGGCAAATTGACTAGACACTGCTTCCCCTAAAATGAGGCACATTATTATCTATGCAGTTACCAGAGTTGTCAGTGAAGAATATTGTTATGGTTTTCTATCCCTGGCATGAAATTAAAAGTGAATTGGGGGCTGTTTTGTAAACTACCTTGCAATGTTTTTTTTTTTTTTTTTTTTACCAATAATTTTAGGCTCATATTCCTAAAAAAACGTAGTTCAGAAGTATCAATGAGTGATGAATATTACAGAGTTACCCTTTATAAAAGACCCACACACTCAGCCAAAAGCATGTTAAACTGATGTCAAAGTATTGCTCACTCCATTTTGTTTCCAGGATCATCACAGGGCTAGTGTCCCTTGATGTGGAAACTGTTAGTGATAGTGATGATCCATAAAAAACATGGCTTTGCATCATGTGTGCCTCCCTGTTGGTGACAAGTGAAAGTCATCCTCTGAAGGAGATTGTTTTGTCTGTGCTAGAAATCAGTGAGGATCTGCTTTTGTTTTCTCTATTGATCTTTACAAGTATCTGGGTATATGTTGAAGATAGTATGGCTTATTTTAACTTTATGAGACCAACAGTATTAGATATCTGTGCTAAGTAAAATTTGGGCAATGTCTGTATTTTCTACTGTCTTGAGAAACAGATCATCTCTTTAATATAATTAAAACATACAATATCAGTCTCTCCTATATAATGAAAACATACAGTATTGGTTTTTCTATACTATCTTCCCATTTAACAAGTGTCTTCCCTTTGAGATCTGTCTGTCGTAATGAAAATGACTGGTTTTTAGTCTTTTAAAGAAGCTTCTTAGTATCCTTTTGTATACATAGACCTTGCTTTCCTAATACTTCTTCCTTGGTTGACACCTTGTTTGATTTCCTGTCTGGGCAACTGTGGCTAGTACTGCAGTACACATACTAGTGCAGGAGCTCCTATGCAGCGATTATTTACATCTTTGATATGCACATGCAATAGAAACATTAACTAATATGATAGTTGTATTTCTCCTTTTTGAAAACTTCTTATAATAATTACCAAGCATTCCCTTTTCTGTATATTTTGGCTGGAAACTGGTAGTTTTGATTTTTTCCTTGATAGTCATTCATGATATGATAGTCTTCATAGTCAAGATTATATAATATTTCATACTAGTTTGCCTTGTGTTCTGCTCATTGTCATTAAAGAAATTTTTCATACATTTTTTTGGCTGTTTAGATGTTTTCTCTTGGAAAATGTTAATTTAGACCTATTGACTATTTAAAATTGTATTGTTTTGGGTTCTGCTCTTGAATTGAGTTCCTTTATATTCTACCTATTAACCATCATCTTAAGTTTTTCATATTTCTCACTCTATACCATTTCTATTATGCTCTTTGTTATTTCCTTCATATAATTTTGGATTTATTTTATACTTGGATTTATTTCGTAGCACTTTGAATTGTATTGTTAGAACTTATTTTCAAGTATTTCATTTTACATCTGTTTGAAACTTTTGATGTTGTTACTGACAACAACATGGTTTGTTCTTGGCACTCATCTGAGGCATCCCATGACTCTAGGTGTATTGCATTTTAAAAGTTCCTATTTGATATTTTCTTTGAATAACTGCTAGTTAAAATGTTATTCAGCCCAGTCTATCTTTTAAACATATATTAGCAGAAATGTATTACAATTCCTGTGATTCTTTGATATTCTCTTTTAGAAATATAAGTTTTGTTATCTTTTTATTTTAAAATTATTTTCAATAT